TTCGTCTCTGTAATTAATAACGGCACGCCCTTAAGTCATCACTGACTTAAGGCGACTCTTTCCAGGTTTTTATATGTAAAGAGTACATTTGGTTTTCCATTCCCTTCGTCTGCGGGGTGCTCCGGGACTGTGCAGCTTGCCCAAGGCCATGCAGGCTGGATCTTTTGGTATGCCCAGTGGAGGACTAAACTCCCAGCACCTAAGCCCCTGAGCTATTCAGCCAGCGGTTGTTGTGGGTTTTTCGGCAGCTTGCCCAAGGCCATGCAGGCTGGGTCTTTTGGGATGCCCAGTGGGGGACTGAACTCCCAGCACTTAAACCCCTGAGCTATTCAGCCAGCGATTGTTGTGGGTTTTTCCGAATATATTCAGCCAGCATTAGGCTTTGTTCCGGCACAAAAATAAACAAAGCAGATCGCCTTAAAAACAGCAGTTCTAACCATACTAGCTCGGAAACAAGTCCCTCTGAATGTCAGTACAGTACATCCCTTTGAATTTAGGGGATCTACTTCCCTGTTGAGTGCTCATCTGGTAAATGAGTTACACTCACATTCTCCTCTTCCAAACAAGCAAAGGATTGGCAGCCCCTTAAAAGCCAACAGGTTCACTGTGTCGTACTAGAAACTCTTTCATCTGAGAAGGAAATATAATCTCATTTGGCAATCCCATATAAACACGTTTGCGAGGGGTGAGAAAAGTTGAGAAAAATCGGTTCAAGGTAAATGAAACGACAGGAAAAAAAATACCCCAACACAAAACCAGGCAGAAACAATATTTGAAACGAATGGCAAAGCTTTGTTATTGTGACGTGCTGTCAAGTCACCTCCAGCTTAAAGCGATCCTATGAACGAGCGATCTTCAAAACGTCCTGTCCTCAATAGCCTTCCTCAGTTCTTAAAAACTCAAGCTTTAGGAAGTAAATCCATATTTCAATGGGTTTTCCTCTTTTCCTGATGCCTTCAACAGGGGAAACTTCCTTTCCCAAGACGTCCCCAAAGTAAAACGGCCCCAGTTTCAACGTTTTTGCCTCGAGAGATAGTTCAGACTTGATTTGATCTAGGACCTACTAGTTTGGCTTTCTGGAAGTCCCGGGTATCAGCAAAGCTCTTACCCAGCACAATATTTCAAATGAATCATTATTTTTTTAAAAAACTTGTCAGCCTTTTTCGCTGTCCAACGTTCTCACGCGTACTAGTAACCGGGAATGCAATAGCGTGGATTATCTTGGTCTTGGTCTCCTGTAACATATCTTTACACTTGATTATCTTTCCAATTTCTTTATTCCTGCCCTTATGAGTCTCTGGACTCGGAAGAGAATAAAGCTACAAGTACCATTAACGAATAGTAACCGGGAATGCAATGGCGTGGATTATCACCATCCTGCCATTGGTCAACCAGTTAAACGTGTTGAGGCCGTGTTGAAGTCAGGACTCCATCCAGTAGCAGGTGAGAAGCGGAAAGGCAAGAAAAATCAGAGGCGAGTGACCGGAGCAGACAAATATCCTCATTAGAAAAATGACCCTGGAAAGAAATAAGATGAGGGGAACTCCTTGCTTCGGGTATTTCTATGCCTCACTTTTTATGGTGACGTTGAAACCCAAATTTACCGGATGTTTTTTTTCTTTTAAAAATGTATACATAAATAAACACACCAGTAGTAACCCGCTAAAGAAAAAGGACGGAAAAACTTCACTATGCCTTTTAACCATGAGGAGTAGGCGCCCTTTTAGATCCCAAATCAGCAATCCAATTAAACTGTTGCATTTAAATGTGAATGAAGTGGCTTTCGTTCCAGTAACTTCTTGGCTCTTGAACTGGCTTAAATCCAATTAAGCTGACTTTTCTGGTGGGGCAATCAGAATGCAGCCCTCAAATCATTTACCGTGGAAACGGCTCACCACAGAGACCGACAGGCTTCTTCTGCAGGAGGCGATTGTTGGGCTGCGGCTCAGTTCCAAGTCTGGAGATCCAAGAAAAGGGTCATACGTAGCCACGACATTTTCGGAAGTCCTTTCCCCCCTCCTTTCTTTCGTTGTCACATCAGTCCTGTTATGTTTCCCTGTTTAGCAGGAGGGTGGGGAGGGAATAAAACTGGGCACTACCACAGAGCTCTTAGAAGAGTCTCTGCCTCAAGAGGTAAAAGAATTCTGCTTGCCAGACCGCTCGATCTCTCGCTTTTCCACGTTTCCTATTTAGTATGTTTTGTATCGGATCCCTGGAAGATAAAGAAGGGCTTGAGCTGATACGCTGCTAGCTGAAGTACCTAGGGTGCAGTGGCCAGAGCGTTGGACTGGGACTCTGGAAACCTGGCTTCAGATCCCAACAGGATCATTAAAATGAACCCGTTGACTTCTCAGCTCCATTTATTTCACAGGGTGGTTGTGAGAATTTTAAAAAGGGGAGGAGAGCTAAATCCGAAGTCCATTGGAGGAAAGGAGTAACGTAGATTTGGCAAATAAATAAATAAATAAATAAATAAATAAACAAACAAACAAACAAACAAACAAACAAACAAACAAACAAACAAACAAACAAATAAACAAATAAACAAATAAATAAATAAATAAAAAATAAATAAATAAATAAATAAATAAATAATCAATCTTTGGGCAATTCCCTTCTTTGAAAGAAAAGGGAAAACACACATTTCCTTTTAATGACCCTAAAGCTATGCCAGCATGTTCGATAGAAGTTGGCTTGATTTTACCACCCCTGATGATGGAGCATCCTTTCGTAACAGACACCCGCTTGTAACCACGTTTAGTTCTTAGTACTAAAATGACCAATAGATGGGCACTTAGAATTGTGTTTACCAGAAGACACAATTCTTCAACTTTGCTGAATTATTGCTAGGATATTAAGATATAGTACAGTGGATTAATAACCACATTTAATAGTTGTGCTGGCTTCCAGACTCACTTGTAGGGGTAGAGGTTATAATATTCTTTGCTTTCACATAATCTTCAAACAAACTATCTTACACACACCTCAACTAATTTAGTTTTCTGTAGAACAACTGGGCAACCTGTAACCCTCCAGACATTGTGGCAATACAGCTCCGAAGAAGTATACAGTACAGTAATTTCAGATGTCTACAGTGGAGACTAATAGGCATAGCACAGAAGCAGAAACCTAGTCTTCAGCAATGAACACCCCCCCCCCAAAAGAGAGTCCTGATGGATCACACCAGGGGTCTGCCTAATCATGCATTCCATTTATAGCAGCCAACTCTTGCCTGTAGCAATCCTACAGCAGAATCTGAATAAAACTGCACCTCCTACTCTCATTCCCCACAAAGTGGGGACTTCAGAGAGGCATCCTGATGGGAGTTGAAGCCCATCATCAGAATACTGAGCTATATCTTACAGGAGGGAATACTGTACGTAACTATTATGACTAGTAGCTATTGAACATTCCTCTATGAATTTGTCTAAAGTTAGCAGTAAACTAGAGTTGTCCATATTGTGGCCATCACTACACTTCGTGGTAGCAAACTCCACAATTACACATGATGTGAAGGAGAATTTCCTTTTCTCTGTCCTGAATTTTGCATCATTCATGGCCAATGAATGATATAACACCTTGATATTGAAAAAAAAAACCCCACCTTGCCTTACTTCATATACCTCTGTCTTGTCTCTCTTCAATCACTTTCTTCTAAATTTAAATAACCCTAAATGTCCTACTATTTCCTATTTTTAAATATATTTTCTATAAGCTCCAAGACTGAATTTGCCTTTCTCACAGTACTTGCATTGGGTGGACATTTTCATCCACCCATCCACCATAAGTCCAATAATTTTTTTAAAAAATCAGTCCTTGCCATTTCAGATCCTATGCAATATATGAACCTGTGACATGACTTCTCTTTCCTCCTCCTCCCCCCACTTCCTTTTCTTACTCTGAACCATCTTGGTGCTGGAGATTCTGTATTCGAATAGTTTGCAATCCCTTATGCTGTAACTCTAAATAATTTACAGATTACAGACAAATAGTTGGAGTTCCAGAAAATATTTACTCAGAATCAGTAGAAAGCCAACCATTCTATTCAACGATAAAATGCTGGCAATCTCTCCAGCTCCTACAGATCGTTTTCTTCTGTATAGGGCAGCCACCTTGGGGGCTTCATTGCTGACATGCACAAAGAAAGACTCCGACAGATATGTTGAAAATGATCATCCTGAAATTGTGGCAGTGGCAGTCTGGCTTGATCTGTGCATACCTGAGGAGGTAGATGGGTTAGACCACCACATGTCACATATACTTTGACTTGGATTCCTGCATTAAGCAGGGGGTTGGACCCGATGGCCTTATAGGTCCCTTCCAATTCCATCATGCTATGATTCTATGATATGTGTGTAAATGATTTTATGTCTTCTCTTCCTGCCTCATAGTATATGAATGCATATATTCTCTATAGTTTCAGATCCATGGTAAAACCACAAGCCAGATTAATTTATGAAAGCTTCTCCTCCTTTCCTTCTCGTTATTCTTGGGTAAGGAGAGAACTGACAACGCTCAACTAGAAAACAAGAAACATAAAACAAAGCTAAAATATAAAATTAGTTGGCACATACAGTAGGAGAGTTCCTTTCCTCTGTTTTACAGGTTTCTCCTGTTTTCAAATTTCATCCTGCAAAACCTAGCAAAACCTAAATCAGTATGAAGCACCTTGTAAGTGACAGACATCGTTGCGTAGGCTCTAAATTCCTGTCCGTGCAACAGTCGCCAACGTGGCATGGCGTCGTTTCTACAGGGTGCTAAAGGACGCATCACTCAAGTCGAAATCACAATTTCGTCCCTTTTGATTTTAATATTAAATCTTTTAACAGGGCGAGGTCAAGTGTCAGAATCGGAGGGACATTTCGATGCTGTGAGAAATTTCGAGGCAGCTGCCGAAGGAGACGGCGGTCGTCATGCTTTGACGCTTTTAAAATAAAGAAACATAAAAATATGTGCATATATTTATTTTAACGGACGGCTGGTTTGTGTTTCTTTGCCAGGTGAGGAGCGCTACATCTGCTGGTACTGCTGGCGAACCTTCCGGTACCCCAACAGCCTCAAGGCCCACGTCCACTTCCACTGCGTGCTGAACAACGGCCGGGGCTTCTTGGGCTCGCCGGAGCACGCCAGGCCGGCCGACCTCTTCAGCCTCGCCCTCAAGCCGGCAGCAGCAGCAGCAGCAGCGCCGGCGCCTCTGAGGTCCACCACCTGCTCCGGGAGCGGCGGCCGCGAAGGCATCAAGCGGGAGACGTCGGGCTCGCCGCCCTTCGCCAAAGGGCGCAAGGCGGCGGCCAAAGAGGACCAGGAGCGGGCCTTGGACATGAGCGTCGGCGCGGGGCGGGCCCCGGGGCAGTTCCTGGGCCTGCTGGGCAGCGCCTCGTCGGGCAGCAACGGCTTGTCTTTCTACCCCGGCGCCCGATCTGCCTTCAAGCCCACCGGCCTGGCGAAAGC